CAGTTAAGTCTTGAAAGAAGTTGGGAAGCTCTGGTAGGTGCGACTGCATCTTCTCTCTTTCTCCCCGACAACCGAGTGCAGTGAAACCCTAGCTGCCAAGTATTTGGGTACTGTTTTGACTTCAAGTAAGTTTATAAAGCCTAAAAATCTAGTTTTTTGATTTTCGTTTGATCAATGGAACAATACGGAAGTGAGTTCTAGAAGATGCTGGCATCCGGGCTTGGCTCGGTAGATTCCGTTTTGAATGGTATGACCACAATTAAGTTGGATGGAACCAATTACCTAGTTTGGGTACAATCTATACGGATTTGTGTCTGCAGTAGAGGTAAATTAGGGTATCTCATAGGTAGTAAGGTGAAACCCGAAGAGATAGACCTTGCATTTGAGAAATGGATGAAGGAGAACTATACAATAATCAGATGGTTGGTCAACTCTATGCAGCCTCATATAAGTTACCATTACCTTTGGATGTCTTCAGCCAAGGAGATCTGGGACAGTGTTACAGAGACCTATTCATTGAAGTTGAATGTGGCAAGAGCCTATAAGCCAAAAAGTGATGTGAAGAATCTGAGACAAGGGGGAGAGAAGTGTGGCAATTTACTATTCTATGCTGAAATCTCTATTGTAGGAAATTAATGTTATGGAGACAGTTGTATGGGAGAGTGCAAAGGATGCAGAGACTTTTAGGAAATTGGTGGAAAGAAACAGGGTGTTTGAATTTCTTACAGGACTCAACCCTAAGTTTGACATTATTAGGCAGAATATTCTGGCCAAGGATGAGGTCACTCCTGCCTAGGCATATGCCATGGTAAGCAGTGAAGAGAGTAGGCGGCAGGTTCAGTTACAGAGTCCACCTACAGAACACTTTGCACATGCTGGAATAAAGCCGAAGGGTCCAACTGAGAAGAAAGAGCTGATATGTGAATACTGCAAGAAACCGAGGCATACTAAAGACACTTGCTGGAAGCTTCATCTAGATCTTCTACCAAACAGGTTTAAGAATAACAATAGTTTTAAGAAGGTTGGTCAGACAGGAAAGCCTAAGATTGCTAACGTTGCCATAGTGCCCGAAGGAGGGAATAAGGAAAGTGAAGAATTATCAGCAATGAAGGCAATGAAGGCAGAGTTTGAAAAATATGGAAGGTTGTTGAATCACTTGGAAACCACCGTCTCTACATCTCACTCTTCAGGCAACACATCATCATCATCCGCATTTGCTTACTCAAATATTCGTGCTTTTGCAAATCATGCTTCTATTTCAGGTAATCATAAAATCCCTTGGATCAGTGATTTTGGTGCATCAAACCATATGACCAGCTTGTCTAACCTTTTTTGTTCATATCATCTCTTTTCTGGTAAAGAGAAAATATCTCTTGCTGATGGGTCTCTTGCTCCCATCTTTGGCAAGGGGGATATTAAGATCTCTGACACCCTTGTTTTATCCTTTGTCCTTCATGTCCCTAAACTTAAGACCAATCTTTTATCTATTAGTAGCTTAACTAAATCCATTAACTATAGCATAACCTTCTTTCCTACCCACTGTGTTTTTAAGAATTGAAATCTCAGAGGATGATTGGGAGTGGCCATGAGGCGAATGGAATATACTTGTTGGACAAACCCGATAGGAATTTTGGACCACCTCATGGAGTAGCCTTGGAGTCAGTTGTGTCAGAGTCTATTGATAGAGTCATGTTATGTCATTTCCGGTTTGGTCATTTGCCTTTTTTCTGCTTTGAGTCATTTGCTTCTCAATATGTTTAAGGGAGTGTCTTTATTGAGTCTTGTGAAGTGTGAGGAAAGGGTTTTTTCTTCTATTCCTTTGCCAATGGGAAACTTACAGGGCTTTGTGGAGGCAACAAGGTGGAGGAAAGCCCTAAATGTGGAGGCCTAAGACTTTATGTTTGAACAAATAAGAATCAAAGGGTGTCATAGCTTGATGATAAGGGAGCTGAAGAAAGCTACAGTTCTGGTGGAAGGCTTGGAGATAGTTGAATGGCTGAAGGAGTTTTTGCAAGAAGCAGCAACAAAAGGAAAGCAGACATGCTGGAAAGAAAATAACACAAAGTTTGAAAGGAAATATATGGTGGAAAGTAAACAGAATGCAAAAGTTTTATTCATATCTCTCTCAGAGTTTTTTGAATAAAACATTTTCCCTAATCCTTCACCCCCAAATTACTAAAATACCCCTCATTCCCCAAATTACCTCTCATTCCCCAAAATTAGAAAAATACCCATAATTCCCCAAATTCATTCCCTAAATTACCAAATTACCTTTCATTCCTACAAATTACTAAAATACTCCTCATTCCCCAAATTACTGAAAATAAYCTTCACTCCCTATTTGCTGAAGTACCTTTCACTTCCCCAAATCACCAAAAGACCTCTCATTCCCTAAAATTACCAAAATACCCCTCATTCCCTAAAATTACCAAATTACTTCTCAATTTCTAAATTACCAAAACATCCTTCACTTCCCAAATTTCCATATTGCCCCTTTAATCCCAAATTACCCTATGCCTAAATTACCCAAGCACCCCCTTTTCCCTCTAACTGTTAACGAGTTCTTTGTATTTGAACCCAAATTGGCATAACACCTTTCCCCCAAACCTTTGCCCAAAAGTTTTAACCCCCTCTTTGCTTTGGGCCCTCTCATTTTTAGAGTTTACAAAGAATCCTCTAGATCTTCCCCACCTCTTTTAAACCCTCCTAAAGCCCTCAAATCAATCCCTGTCGTTCCTAACCCCTTCTCTCAAACCTAGTTCTCTTGGATGAGAATTTTCAGGTTCTCATAGTCTCCTTCCTTCCCATTATAAATGGGAAGCACTGTTCCCAAAAAAGTCGCTCTCAATTTGAAAAAAGGGGAGGGAAACCTTTGAACTAAAAAAAGATAGTGAAGGAGACGAGAGAAGAAAAAAGAGGTCGTGATAGGGGCTCTCAAACCAGAGGAAAAAAGGAGAGGAAGGCATTTTCTATTTCCTCCCTAGTTTCCATTCACATCACCTATCTCAGCTACCACTGCTGCCAACACTTTATGACCATACGTTCCGGTGCTGCTGCTAGTGCCCTTGGCCTGCCCCTCTGTCACCACTGAGCTAAAGTTTCCATAGCATCAATCTAAGAGATTGATATCATCAAGTTATTCAAATCGTGTATTTCGAGTTTGCTAGTTCTCTAGGTTCCAACAACAACATCATTAATTTTTCCTCAAATGAAGGCTACATAGAGGTAAATCTTTTACCTCACTAGTAGGATTGTAGTTTTGATTTCAAAAAGTAATTCTTTTACCTAATATCTGGTGTTGTGCTTGTTTCTTACTTTGTTCTGTAAGTCTACGAGTATCCGGACTCTCCTATATTGGAAGGCAGCAATTCTCCATTTCTCTCAACTCTTCTGGTCATTCAAATAAGTAAGAATGTGGGAAGCCTGATAGAAAAGTGATGGCAATATACCTTCTCACCCTTTTGTTCAAGTTCCTGCGTCCAAAAGGGGATTGGTCCAGAATAGAAGAAAGAAATATTCCCAATAGCAGTATGCCTTCCAGATGAAAGGGAGTGCAGATGCTTAACTTGGTTTCGTAGATTACTATCGATTAAAATTAAGAAAGGGAAGCTAGCATTCACATTGACCAGAGAGGGGTGCCTAACCTTTTCCCCTCTCTTTCTCTCTCTCTACATACCCAGATTGGCCTTGTCTAGGCCGAGGAGCATGGAGTCACTTTCGCTCAATTGATTTTACAGAATGCAAATCTGGTAGACCTATCATTCCCTGATACATATTTGTCTTGATGGGTGGTGACTCCATTTGCTCGACCATGAAGTGAATAGCTGGTTTTTGACATTCACACTAGAGAAGTAAGAAGCAATTAGTAGTTGCAAGGTCCTAAGCAGAAGCAGAATACAGGTTGATGGCCTATGGAGTGTTAGAATTATTGTGGCTTAGATCACTTCTTGGAGAGCTAGGCATTGTTCATGATAAGCCAATGATGCTATATTGTGATAATCAGGTAGCTATCATTATAGCTCATAATCCAGTCTAGCATGACAAAAGAAAACATATTGAAGTGGATAGGAACTTTATAAAGGAGAGAGTAGCTATTGGAAAAGAGTACCTTATTTTTCTTTCTCTACTCACCAGAACTCTATTTTCTTCCTTCTTCTTGTTACTGTTCTGAACTTTTCTTTCTTCTTTTCTGCCTTTAAATCTTAGTTAGTTTTATTATTTTTCAGACCCGGTTCACCACCAATGTTTTAAAACACGGAGGTGTAGTGCGAGGCATTCCACTACGTAGAGGCATGAGGCATAGTTCAGAACGTAGGAGGTGTAAGCCTCCTGAACACAAGGAGGCGTAAGCTTCCTTAAGAGGAGGGGGATGAGGAGGAAAGAGGAGGAAGGGGAGGAGGAAGAAGAGGAAGGAGGATCTCATTTTTCTTTATTTTTAATAAAAGTCTTTTATATTAAGAACAATGACATAACACTAGTTGAA